CGCCTCCTCAGCAGTGCTAAGGATGTCCGACTGGAGTTTAGGCCTGCTCCCCGCTGGCAAGTGGACATCCCCTGAGGGCTGCCGGGCTGCGAGAGGGATGTCTGATTGCCATCTTAGGCCCAATCCCCCCGGGGGAGCGGGCCTAAGCCAGCAGGTGGTCATCCCCTGAGGGGTCCCAGACTGCGAGAGGGCACAGGCCGGGCTGAGGGACCCCTTCCCCACCCCCCCGAGTTCACAAATTTTTGTGCACTGGGCCTCTAGTCTATTTATAAAAGGGTAACATGCTAATTAGACCAGGTTGACCGGCCATCTTCCGGACATCTGACTTCCTTCCAGACAAAGCCATAGTGGTGGGGGCCAAGGCAGGGGCAGTTAGGTGTGATCAGGCCAGCAAGTGAAGGCCGTTGGGGGTGAGATCAGTCCAGCAAGGGAGGGCAGTTAGGGGCGATCAGGCAGGCAGAGGCAGTTAGGGGCGATCAGGCCAGCAGGGGAGAGCAGTTAGGGGCGAGATCAGGCTGGCAGGGGAGGGCCATTGGGGGTGAGATCAGGTTGGCGGGGGAGGGCAGTTGGGGCCAATGAGGCTAGCAGGGGAGATAGTTGGGGGCGAGATCAGGTCGACAAGAGAGGGCAGTTAGGGGTGATCAGGCAGGCAGAGGCATTTGGGGGCAAAATAAGGCCAGCAGGGGAGGGCAGTTAGGAGTGATCAGGCAGGCAGGCAGGCAGAGAGGTTAGGGGTGATCAGGCAGGCAGGCATTCTTTTTCGAATGAATGAATGAATGATTTTCATTTATGAATTGGGACAATCAGCTATCACCTGATAAATTCTGCAACTTTAATAAAGCTGTAATTTCTAGGAGATGGTGCAGAAATACCTTGAAGTAGGAGTAAGAAGATAATCCTCTAACCTAGGCGAACCACTTCTCTGTACCTTGATTTCCTGAGTTATTCTAGAAAATATGAGACTCTACTTTGTCCATTGAAAGATTCTTAACAGATGTAAACTGGACTATTGTTCTGGAGAATAAAGCAAATTTTATTACAACTCCTGTGCTTTGATGTAATTTCTACTGTTTTACAAAATTTTTATGATAGTTGAAAATTTATGAGGAAAGATGTATAATCATAAGTCAGCCTGTCATGTAACAGTACAAATATTTGAAAAGCAATAAACATAATTAAAAATTCTTAGGGCCTCATATTTTCTTTTTTGGTTTTTTAATTTTGATTTATTGGGGTGACATTAGTTAATAAAAGTATATAGTTTTCAGGTGTACAGTTCTATAATACATCATCTGTATAATGTATTGTGTGTTCACCACCCAAAATCAGGTCTTCTTTGTCACCATTTATCCCCCACTATCCCTATTCCACCTCCCTCCACCCTCTTTTCCCTCTGGTAATCACCATACTGTTGTCTGTGTCTAAGGGTTTTTTGTTTGTTTTGTTTTTGCTTAATTCCTTCACCTTTTTCACCCAGCCCCTCTAGCTGCTGCCAGTCTGTTCTCTATCTGTATTTTTTCCCCATCTATGTATGACTTTTACACATGCTTCATTTCATTACCCCCTCACAGCTTAAACTCCAGATTAATATTTTATGTTACTTTTAAGTTTTAGGTAAAATTTTACTACCATTATTTTAATAGTTTTTGCTCTTGGACTTCCTTAATATTTTCCTGTTCCATGTATTTTAGTAAATAAGTCCAGTTGAGCAGAATAATGGATACTATTTGTGGTCTTGAAAGATAGTCTTTGTTTTTTATAAAATGTAAAATCAGTATTTTTTACTAACTGATAACATCTTATGTGTGCTGTTCGTCAAGCCATTCAGCCTCTTTGTGATTTACTTTCAATATCTGTAAAATTGGAGTAATAATTCGCATAGAGTTGTCAATATGATTAAATGAGATAAATATCTGTAAATAACTTTTAAAAGTTTTTTGTACATAATAAATGCTCATTAAAAGTTGACTTTAATTGTTACTGTTGATGATGATAGTGATAATGTACCAACATTTCTTTTTGCAACCTTTTCCATACGTGATTAATTGTTTATTTTAGCCCTGTAGTAACACTAGACCATTAATTTTTTATTGCTACCTGATATTTCTCTATTATTTCTCCCCAATTTATCATAGAATTTGATGGGTTTTTTTCTAAATTTCTATTAAACTTTAGGATTAATAATAGACAGTAGTTTATATACGATTGTTGAACACAGAATTGAGTGACAACAATTAAATGTCAAAAGGCTTTTTAACTAATATAGTTTAAGTACATGTCGGAGCTCTTATTTTACTCTTTGAAAAATATCTGCTTAATGGAGATTCAAGTCTATCAAAGTTCATCTGTTTACCTGTCATTATATTCTACTTGACTATTAAAAATGCATTTTTTTACATTTGTAATAATTTCCATACTTTCTGATATTTATATCAGACTAGAGGCCTGGTGCATGAATTCATGCACGGGTGAGGTGCCTCAGGGTGGCCTTGGGGATCGGCCCCAGTTCAAGCCCCCAGCCTTGCAGCCCCACCTGACACCCCTCCTTGGCTTGGCACCACCCCCTCACCTGCTCCACCATCCCACCTATGGGGCAATTGATCATGGCCAGCCCCACCTGGCTCCCTCAGTGTCTGGGAGTCAGGCAGCGTCCCTGCTCCCTGCTGTTGCCACTGCTGGTTGCCATCTGGAGGGCGATTGATGGGGCTATTGGACCCCTGCTCGCACCCACCTTGCACCCACTCACTTGCTCAACCATCCTCCCGCTCATCAGGGCCGGCAGTGCTTCCACTGCCACCCACTGCCAGCGCCGTGTGGCTGATGCCCACCATTTTTCGTGCGCTCCCCCCACCCCCCCACCCCCTGGTGGTCAGCGCACATCATAGTGAGCGGTTGAACTCCCAGTCTCAGGGTCGAATGACCACCCAAGGGGACAATTTGCATACTAGGCTTTTATTATATAGGATGCTTACAGTGTAGCATCTTTACTCTAGAAATTTAGGAATTTGTTATATTTGTTTATGCTTTGTTATAAAGAGCCCAGAGAGAAGGTGAGAAGATTGTGGGAAAGAGAGTAAGGGTTAACAGCACTGTCTACACTCCATGAAGACACTTTTGGCACAAGGAAACCTTTTTGCAATTTGGATCCTTTTAGGTGTGTGGATTAAAAGACAGAAAGTGTGTAATTCATTAATCATATATCAACTAGAGGCCCGATGCACGAAGATTTGTGCAAGAATAGGCCTTCCTTCCCCTGGGTGCTTGCACCAGCTTCCCTCCGGCACCCAGGACCCAGGCTGCTTCACTCTGGTTGTCGCCGCCACCCACGAGGACCCGGGCTGTTTTGCTCCTGCCACTGCCAGGCACCCAGGACCTGGGCTGCTTTGCTCCAGCCACAGCCAAGCATCTGGAACCGGGGCTTGCTTTGCTCTGGCCGCTGCCACCACCCACCAGGGGCATACTCCGAGCCCAGTTGTGGCTCCATAGAGCACGCCCCCAACCGTGGTGTGTGTCCGCTGGGGCTGGGGGCAGCACACAGTCCTCTCCCACCCATCTGCGCACACAGCTTCTCTTGAGCTAGTCGTGATGCCGGCTAATTTGCATATTACCAATTTTATATGTATATAGGGAATGTATAAATCAGATGTTCACAACTTTAAAAAAGCATTGATTATGCTTTCATGCTACTTAGGGAACACCTTTGTTATAAGTGGTATGGAAATACTAATGTACTAGGCATATTTAACATTTTATTACTTTCTGTATTTATGTCTCCGTATTAAAATCTGAAATGTAGAGATGATACTATCCAAATGTGCCATGTTAAAATGTGTTATTCATTATTATGGATACTATGAAAATACTAACAAATATTAATTAATTTTATTTAAGGGACCAGTCTAAGCTTTTGTCAGTTTGTAATTTCAATTAATGTTTCCTTTCAATAAGTTTCATAGGAGAATTTACAAAGGGATCCCACTCCAGCTCCGAGGGGAAGTCTGGGCTCTACTTCTTGAGATCCCAAAAATGAAAGAAGATACAAAGGACCTTTATAATGTGAGTATCTGATGCCAACCTGTTATTTTGAAATTCAAAAGTAAAATTCATTTCTTTAAGCATTCAAGGTGATGTAAAGTATTCGTATCATCATTTGAAATTATATGATAGAGGCCCGGTCCACAGATTCATGCACTGGAGGAGTCCCTCATCCTCGCCTGAGCCCTCTTGCAATCCAGGATGCGAGTGAAGCAGATTCCGGGCCAACAGTGCCCTAGCAGCAACCTAACCCACAGCTGATTCTGTGAGGAATTGGGTTCCCTCCTCCCTCATCTGTGGGTCCGGGGTGCGGGAGAAGCAGAGGCGGGGCAAACAGTGCCCTAGCAGCAACCTAACCCATGGCCGATTCCACGATGAATTGGGCTCCCTTCTCTACTTGTCAGAGCGTCTGCCCTCTGGTGGTCATTGCACATCATAGCTACCAGGCGAACGGTCAAACGGTTGCTTAGGCTTTTATATATACACTAGAGGCCCAGTGCACAGAAATTTGTGCACTCGGTGGGGGGTCCCGCAGCCCAGCCTATATCCTCTTGCAGTCTGGGACCCCTCGGAGGATGTCCACCTGCTGGCTCAGGCCCCCTCCCTGGGGAATCGGGCCCAAGCTGGCAATCAGACATCCCTCTGGCAGCTCAGCAGCCCTCGGGGGATGTCCACTTGCCAGCAAGGAGCAAGCCAAAGCTTACCTAACCCACAGCTGATTCTGTGAGGAATTGGGTTCCCTCCTCCCTCATCTGTGGGTCCGGGGTGCGGGAGAAGCAGAGGCGGGGCAAACAGTGCCCTAGCAGCAACCTAACCCATGGCCGATTCCACGATGAATTGGGCTCCCTTCTCTACTTGTCAGAGCGTCTGCCCTCTGGTGGTCATTGCACATCATAGCTACCAGGCGAACGGTCAAACGGTTGCTTAGGCTTTTATATATACACTAGAGGCCCAGTGCACAGAAATTTGTGCACTCGGTGGGGGGTCCCTCAGCCCAGCCTATATCCTCTTGCAGCCTGGGACCCCTCGGAGGATGTCCACCTGCTGGCTCAGGCCCACTCCCTGGGGAATCGG